AGATAATTCATTTCTGCTAAAAAGAAGTTAAAGCAGGCGGAGTTCAGGAAATATACTGTGCATGGAAAATCTATATTCCCATTTATTTGGTGTGGGTGGCTGGTTGAAGATGGCGGAGGCGTGGGGCTAACAGCAGCTGGAAGGAAGGAAAGGAGGAAGGAAAGACATCGGAAGAAGAATGTGAATTATGAAGGTTTATTAGAAAAAGAGAAAGAATTGTTCGATTTAATGTGGCTAGGCTAACAGAATCATGTCGGTGTATAGCAGGTTAACTAGAGTTGACAATGGAATTATGCATACATATACATACATACATATATATATATATATATATATATATATATATATATATATATATATATATATATATATATATGTGTGTGTGTGTGTGTGTGTATATATATATATATATATATATATATATATATATATATATATATTTTTAGATACATATCTATGTATAAACACAGACATATATATACATTTATTTGCATATATATAAACACATACGTATATAATTATCTAAGAATGGATATTTGTGGGTATGTATGCATGTTCGTACTAGTGAATTTATATTTCGAGAGCCTCGCACAGACTTAAATACATCCAGACGTATATATATATATATATATATATATATATATATATATATATATATATATATCAATATACTTACGTAGATAAATTTATTGTCATATAAATTGATATACATGAATGCAAATATATGCATATCTGTTTGCATATATTTACGAATACATTAACTGGTTTAAGTAGCAGCTCCAGATTGATACATGCGAACAGACTGTGATATATATATACGCACACACACACACACACATATATATATATATATATATATATATATATATATATATATATATATATATATATATATATATATATTATCTAGTATAGGATTTCAATTTTAGTCTTCTTTGTGAGGAGGTCGAATTTAGGCTGGAGGTGGCACTTTTGGCCTAGATTTTTAAATTCATTCTGATTATGCGTTAATATGTGACTGGATAGGTTCATGTATTTATCACAGTTTTTGGAAAGTAGAATATTTCCTTGGTATAAGTTGCACAACTTTTTCGTAATTATTTGTCTATGTTTAAGTCTTAAACTTAATATAATAAAGCACAATACCATATCAACATGAGTATTAATAAGGATGAAATTCTATAGCCTTGGATGGCAACTGGTCTAGGAGAAGGACAACTCTGAATTCGAAAAGTTGTTTGGGATACTTGTGGAACGTAGTGCACCCGGTCTCGGTATTCAGCCATACAAAAAATGTGGCTGGTTCTGCACAAAGCCTTCACCACTATAATCAAATCATATGTGCTAGTGACTGGCTATCGGTTCCTAGGAACTGAATTGTGACTCACATACGTCGAATACGACGGAAAAGTCCACCATATATATATATATATATATATATATATATATATATATGTATATATGTATGTGTGTGTGTGTGTGTGTGTGTGTGTGTGTGTTGTGTTGTGTGTGCGTGTATATGTGGAGATGATGAGACAAAGCGGAAAGTTTATAAACGACGCGTTACGCCAACGTGAGTTTGGTTCGGCTTCTCCGGATCAAAATGAAAGACAAAATTGTTTTTACAGAAAATGGGTTCGGATATTTGAAGATAAAAAGGACAATAAGGCAATTTAATTTTTTGCCCTATTATCCTAAATAATCTCAATGCATTTTCTTTACAATTAGTTTTATCTTTCATTCCGACCGAAGGAAGGCGAACTTAACACACGAAGGAAAAATGCTTCGTCTATAAGCTTTTCCACTTCATTACATCGTCAAGATTTTTCTTTCGGATACTATTATACATCTTACATGCACATACATACACTTAATTTTATGAAATTTCGAGAAATTAAAATTTCAGCTTCTTTATAGCAGGACACTTCGGAGAATTAAAATCACCAATTTGTTTTTGTCAAACAGAAACAACATTTACTGAAAATCTGCTCTGAATCGTAAAATAAAATATTCGATAAAATTATGACATTATTTAATTAGAAAATCTCTTATTTTCTTTTATAAATAACATATAAGAACACTATTATATTAAGAAAAAAATTTTGATTAATAATGAAATTTTCCAAGAATTGTTTCATTCTTTTTAATTTTCGAACCTTTTAAAATTCTGTATTAATTTCAGCCTTTTAGATGATACTTTTATTAAGTGAACAATATATTTACTAAAATAAATAGAAAAGCTTAATACAGATAATCAAACACCAATATTTGAAAAGATTTTTTAGTTTTTGTGTGTGGGTGTATAAACGTGTCGATTTTTTGTAAGTACGGACGACCATACACGACATCTATAGTAAATCTAAAGCCAACATTCCTAAAATTCAATAGAACATTAGATTACGGAGAATATTTTCCTAAATTTCTAAGACTAGTGGGTACTTAAAAATTTAATAAAAAGGTGCTCGCGTCATTTTCTTCAGTTACATTTTACAGATAATGTCTCCATAAAACAAAATTAGACCTGTCATCAGGCTGCCAACACATCAAGACAGTTACTATCGGGTTAAATATATAGCTTCTCTCGGGTTAAAAAATGCATTTCTGTGATATTTTAAACTTAAATAGTATTTGTTTCAAATCTACTAATATTCCTCAAATAAAGTTACAGAAAACTATATTATATTTTTGGAAGATAATTTAGTAAACAGAATTACATTACGACTAAAAAGGCATCAAGTCAGGAATTTTAACAAAAACAAAAACAACTTCCAGTCAATTTAAATTTATATAAATATTAAATTTAACGTATTACCTTGAAATTAAAACTAAAATAAAAGCTTCAAGAAAGATTTTTAATTTTAAAAAATTCATTTTAAATTTTATGCATCGCGTTTTTGTGGAGGTCCATATATATATATATATATAATAATAATACCTAATAAATGTAATTTGTCATGTAGCTGATTGATGTTATATTCAGCTTCATCCACACCTCGATTCTAGATTTTCGTAGAGCAACTTTTGCAGCAACTCTTCATGAGGTTTCAGCAATTAACTGGCGGTTTTCCCCATTTTTTTTGTTTTCTTTACACTAAGTTTAATGATGTGATCAGTTCATGCTTTTTTTTTTAAATCTGTATCACCCCAAGCAAGGCAATACAGCCGCTAACACGCAAGTGGTTACAGAGTTTGTAGAATTAGGAACAGAAACTATAGTAATGAGTAGAAAGAGAAAAGAGTAATCAGGAGGACAGTAGATAGCGATTGGCATTGCATTTAAATTTTCCAGATTAAATTTGACTGAAAAACATAGAGCCACAAGGGAGTTCCACAAGCGAGAAGTGCGACAAAAGAACCTGTCAGCATAGAAAATTACGGCTACATCTATCTAGCTCAGTTGTAAATTAATGAGATCTCTCCGCCAGTCTAGTATTGCACTTCAATTCATACAGTCTAGGTACCATGGCGAAGAGCTCGCCCGAACAAATACCACGAAAGTATTTATAAAAAAAGGAGCACAAAGAGACAACTTTACGGCGGTGTGCAACTGACTAAAGCCGAGCCACCAGATCAGGACCAATAATATTACTGATTCTTCTTTGGATTTTATCAAGGAGCTCGAGGTAAATAGCAGGGGCACCGGACCATATATGAAAGCAATATTCTAAGCATGGACGAATTGTAGACTTATAGATATGCAAGATAAATTCCAGGGAGAAAAATTGTCTCGCGTGACACAGTGAACATACTTTCTTAGCAGCTGACCTAGCAATGGATTCAATATAGTCTTTCCACTTCACGTCATCTGAGATCATTAACCCAAGAAGGCACAACAAGTCACTTTACCTGTGTTCGAGTTCTTCTTTATTGGTTCTACCTTGGACTATCACCGTGGTACAAGTTCTAATTGGAAAGTTAGGCAGGGATACTCCAGGTGAGTCAAGAGCAGAATTCGAAAGAATTTACGGGCAAAGCATTCAACTTTATCAACAACGGATTTCAGCACCTCAAATCGATTGATAAGTGGGGCATAGAGACTTTGCACTTATTTAGTACCCTATTACAGAGACACCAGTAATCACGAGAGACAAAGTTTTTAGAGGTTATGTGGTCCCTCATTCTCTCAGCAAACAGGGACATGGCCACTTCGAGGTCACACTTTCATTTACGACGTGCAAATAGGCACCTGTTATGACGAGAGCTGTCACGCTGGCATAGCCGGAAATAGTGGTTCTTGTGTAGCATGCTGGTGTTAACCATGGAGAGGATTGCGGTTTCACCTCGTACTTACGAGAAGAGATGTAAGCGTCTCTGTTCGCGCAATTTTCACTTGCGAGGTTGAAGATGTTAGTCCAAGGGGTGTCACAAAGAAAATCCCGGAATGAGTTTCAGTCAGCATCGTGGTAATGGAAAGAGGTCTTATGAACGGGGGTTCCTGTTTAATGGATGCTTAGACAGTGGTATCAATAGCTCTCACGGAGTGCTCCGAGTCACCAAAAGGGCAGTATTGCGAAGCTCGGCAAAAGTGAGGAGAGGAAGTAAGAAATAGATCCAGTAGAGTAGCCTGTTGCTCGGTTTGGCTAGGGAAACGAGTAGGGATTTTATTATTGGTGTTAGGTTGATCTTCAATAAATTAATGGATATTTTTCATCAGTCAATTTTATTATTATATTTTTAACTAAAACAACAGTTTTTTTTTTGTTTTGTTTTTTGTTGACTATGATGTGTTCCCGTAGCCTAATTGTAAGTGCCACCCTTAGTTTTAAAATGGTTTCACTGACAAAAAATGGGATACCTGTTCGGTTTCTGTCAGTAGGCACATTTTCTTTATCAAGGCTCTCTATTGCTAGGCCGTAGGTATTAATTTTACTATTTAAAAGAGGTAAAACAAAAACCGGTGTATCTTTTCACACAAATGTATTCATAAATATAAGGTGTGTATATGTATTTACCTGTGTGTGTGTGTACATGAATAGTGTGGGAAAACAAATCAACACTGCATGACCCAAAAGATCTATATCTACAAATGTGTAATCTCTGATATGAAAGAAAGTTTATCTTTTTTTTAAATGACTGAAATAAAAGAAATAAATTCCAAAATTCAACACATGCTGTAGAAAGTGATTTTTGATTACGTATGAATCTAAGTGTTAAAAAGAGCATCTGTGTCTAAAACATAAAGTTATTAGAAATACGCGTGCACAGCTATAATGTTCATGCAAATATATGCGTCGATGTTATAAATGCACGTGTAGACGTGTAAAAGCAAACATCCGCTTTACTACAGACATGCCACAGAAAAGCATGAAGCTGTGTAGATCTGTATGTGCGCATGCGTACAACGTTGCGTGCGCTTATGTGATCAGAAAAGACGGGAAAGCAAGAAAACAAGATAGAAACATGCGATACAGAACACTCTATTAAAAGATGCCCGCGTTGTAAATTAAGGAGAATAGTGACAGATTTAACGTGTTAAAGGTTCTACGCCAGCTAAATTTATATTTCTTTATTCTTAAATATTCGCCTTGGTGTATTCCTTTAAAACCGTAATTCGATCTTCATTGCAGACACTTTAAAAAAAATAAAATAAAAAGTAAAAAAATAAACGGTGAAGAGAAAAGTTTAAACTTTTTTATCTTATTTTCTGTCAGTATTTTTCTATTTAATTTTTTTTTTCAAGCTTTTATTATTTTGTTTTTGTCATTAGTTTCTTAAATGTTTGCCAGTACGTTGTTGTTTTGAGTTGTAAGTTTCACAGAAGCCAGTTGATTAAAACCAAAACGATGATTTTAATTGTTAAAAATAATGTCACCTGTCAAACTAATTTGTTTCACGGTTTAAGTGTCATCCATCAACCCTGCAGTGTCCTTTGTGATTTATTTAGAGACTATCAGTCCTTCGATCACACCTGAATTTTGCTTGAGTACGTCACCCGGTTCAAGTTTCTTAAACTACCGTACGAATTCTCTATTTATCAATCTAAAATATTATATCATTTCTCTACTTTTTCTTTCCGTATCTCTCTTCATAATTCGTATTTTTTTTTCTTCTTCTCTGGGGCGTTTGTTTATATGTATGGTTAAACATAAAGTCAGAAGTCAGACTAATCTGTTTCACGGTTTGCTGCCATCCAGCCATGCTCTTTGCGATTCATTTAGAAAGAATTACAATAACAAAAACTACATCACTTGAGGACTACCAACAGCAGCAACAACTAAAATGGATAGCACATGAAACTCGAAGAGAAAATAATGACATAATCAAAATATTGACATTCTACACTACTTCAAAAAAAAGGTTACGAAGGAACACCCTCATCAATATTGGAAAAAGCGATAACAGATATCAGTCTTGAAAAAAAAAACATATTATCTTGAAAAAATGTTTTAAGGAAAAGATTTTATAAATTTCAACTGAAAGCAGTACTGGTTGCTCGGTCAATGTATGCCAAATATTTCCTTGTAAGGAGACAGCTAATACTACCATTGCCTTTAAAAGTAGAGACTAGCAATTCATCGATCACACCTGAATTTTTGCCAAACTAATTTGTTTCACGGTTTCCTGCCATCCAAAACCCTTGCAGTGTTCTTTGGGATTCTTTTAGAGTCTAGACATTATTCAATCACACCTGGGTTTTACATGAGTATATCCCCAGGTTGTAATTTCTTAAACCTTCCTTTCGAATTCTCCATTTACCATTCTAAAATTTCATATCATTTTCTCTTCTTTTTCTCTCTCTATAGTTCGTATTTTTCTTTCTTTCTTCTCCTTATAATCCGTATTCTCTTTCTCATTCTCTCTTTCTTTATCTCTCTCTTTCTCTCGCTTTCTTTCTCTCTCTCTCATTCTCTCTCTCTCTCTATCTCTCTCTCTCTCTTTCAAATTTTATTCACTTTAATATTTCGCCAGTTAAACTCTGTCAGTCTGTGGCATGCGACCTTCAATCGAAAGTCGTCTTAATAATCTCTGCCTGTAATGTTTGACAGACTATCCCAATATACCCTCGGCCAATTGCTAATATAACCGCGTCTATTACAACATCTTTCTCACACCTACAAGCTGGTTGTAGATGTGAAGTTATATGCTTCGCCATTCGGCGACTGGGACTACTGACCCTAGGTCAAGACTCTAGTGCATCCGACCCATTTTATAACCGGTGTGAACTACATCTATGGCGATATCACACTACACTTGACAATTTCTGTCTTCACCGTCATGTTCACGTACAGTGCTTCGTGAATTTATGTTAAACCAACCATTAGCGGAAGAGATAGGTAAATAAATCTATCAAATTCTTTCACATGGTTAAAGTAGTTGAGCATTTCCAGCTAATGGTTAGTGTTCGAGCCCTGGTAAAAACAAATAATTGTTTTTTTCAGTAGAAGCAGACTCGCCGTCCAATATTTATAACATTGATGCTGGACTGTTTTTTGTTTCAATTCAAATGTTTTCTCTACTCAGGGGGCATTTTCTTTTCTTTTACTCCTAATTTTATATCGACTTTTTATTCTTTCTCACGTTTTTAATCGAATATTTTCCCGCTCTTTCTCTCTTTCTCTTCTCTCTCTCTCTCTCTTTCTCCCCTGCCCGTCTCTCTTTCTCCTTCTCCCTTCTCTGTCTTTCTTCTCTCATCTCTCATTCTTTCCCTCTCTCTTTTTTCCTCTCTCTCTCTCTAAATCTTTCGCCTGTTCGTTTCTCTCTATATCTTTCCTTAATTATCCTTTCTCTCTCTCAAACTTGTTCTTCGAATACCGACTTTCCTTCTATACCATTAACTCTTTCTCCTCTTCGTTTTCATCCAGCTTTTTAGTATATTCCCCATTTTCCCCCCTCTCTCTCTCTTTTCTCTCTCTTTTTCTCTCTGTTTTTCTCCTCTCTCTCTCTCTCTTAAACGTATTCTCAGAAAACTCTCTTTCTTTTTCTCTTCTCTTTCAATACTTGACTCTCCTTATTTGCCTTTTTCCTGAATTTCTTTAACATTCTCCGTTTTTTTCTTTATTTTTTTTCTTTACTATTTTCCTCTTATTTTCTCTTATTCACCACTTTCCTATCTTTTACATTTAACTCTCTCAGGTTTTTCTCTCGTGCCCTAAATCTTTCTCTCATTCTATGGCACCCGATCCATTCTTTGTCCCTTTCTCTTATTTCAAACTATTTGTGTGTGTCACTCCATCTCTTCTTCTCTAACTCTCTTTCATAATAAGCAACTTATTTTCTGTCTCTCACATTTTTCATAATACGCCATTGACTTTTCAATCTCAAAGGTCTTCAGCATGTAATAAACTTCTTAGCAACATGTTGATCTACCACACAGTTTTGAAGAACTTTGAGTAATCTAATATTCTCTGATGACTAGTAATACGCGACAAACAAACTAAAAACATATCTAAAGCAGAGACTCGTCTCTTCTGTCTTTCTCTGGTATTAAATTGAATTTTATCACCTTCGATTCTTTTCACAGTCTTTGCTTAGTTTCTTCTGAACACATATTTCCAATTCATTCTGATAATTATACATACAAATATTCATATGAATTTATATAGATAAATAGATTTATAAATTTATGTATGAATAAACTAAGATAGATAGATAGATAGATAGATAGATAGATAGATAGATAGATACATACATACATACATACATACATACATACATACAGACAGAGCGTAATTTAGTCCGATTAATTAGTTATTAGTATAACAAATTTAGTCCGATGAAGCCCTAAAGGACGAAACGCGTTGCCGGAAAACTTTTTCCACTTTGATACATATATATATATATATATATATATATATATATATATATATATATATATATATTATTACATATACGCGTATCTACGTTTTTTTGCGTGCGACTATAGTTTCGCTGGGTGGTATATAACGATTATTACTTTGCTTGCCTGCGCATACAAACCAGCACACGCGTACACGCCTGCTTATATTTGGCCGTTTCATTTAGGCAATCTACAACTATATATATATATATATATATATATATATATATATATATTAGTTTCGGATTTCATAAGCCATTATCAAACAGTAATTCGTTTTTGCTATGTTAGTTTTGATTTTTCAACTAGATAGATAGATAGATAGATAGATAGATAGATAGATAGATAGATAGATAGATATTTTTTCGTTCCAGATAGGAAATACCATGTCAGACATCAACAAGATAACTACAATCTTCGAAAATGTAAATGCAACGTCAATCGCCGTCTTCTGTCTCCGTCAAGCCTGTTTCTTTTTATCCTTTCCCCAAGCCTCTCAATTTTCAATCTTATCATTCACTTTCACTCCCTGTAAACCCCTACGTTCTAGTTGCACTGTCACTTTGCTTGGGGTGAAACGTTTAAAACAAAGTATATATATATATATATATATATATATATATATATATATATATATATATATATATATATATATACTTCTGATCTCCTCCGAGATCATCCTCAGGGGTGAATTACAAAAGACAAGTTTATACAAAAGTACTTGGGTTGGAAAACACTATGGCGCATTCCTTGATGAATGTTATCTTAACATCAAGAAACTGATTAGAGAACCGGAAAGGATCATAATGAAAATAAAGAGACATAATATGTCTATATTATTCAATGAAACGTTTAAATACACACACGCATATATATATATATATATATATATATATATATATATATATATATATATATATATATATATATATATATATATATTCACGAGCATTTGTAATTGATTTTTACAAGCATTTACTACTATACTTTTTCTTTGAATTTAGCTTAGGGTGATACATGTCTACTGTAGTATAGAAACCAATTAATTAGATAATTGGTCTACGAGAGCAGTTTGCTACCTTAACGCTACAGGAGACATTTATAAGGTTATTTAATAAACTAAGTTTAATTTGGTCCAACAAAAGAGTAGTGTGGAAATAAATGAGGATAAGCTAGCTTATTTGTGTGTGAAATAAGCTCTGGTACGTATTTGTATGGTTAAAAACTAATCTTAGTTTAATCTGATACAAAGTGAAAGAAATGAGCAACCAGGGTGTATCGTTAGCGAATTGTTATGTGAGAAGCTTTTTCTTACCATTCCAAGATGGTATGAGTTTCCTTCATTAACATTTTTTTCTTTTTTCCTTCTATTTTTTCTTTTCTTTTTTTTTTTTGTGCTTTCATTTTCTTTTATTTTCATTGGTGCATTCTTTTGTTTGATTTTTTTTTTATCCTAATCTCTCTTATTTTCTATATTTCTGATTTTCTCCTACGTCTTTGTCTCCTTTTTTTTTTTCTTTTTCTCTTTCTTTTTTTTTTTCCTGTGCCCACTCCCTATACACATATCTATGTCAGAAATATTTCCTTCTTTTTTTTTTTCTCACAGTTCAAATTTCACCTCTGTTTCTTCTTTACTATTTTCTAACTTTCGCAATTATGTATCATATTATCAGGCGAGTAGCGTAACATTTATTGTCCCTGATTATGGAATTGATGAGCCAAGTTCGAATTTCAGTTTCGCACTAACGCCCTTGGGAAAAGCATGGATGATTTTTTTATTTTATTTATTGCTCCCTCCCCACACCTCAAGTATGGAAAACCATGCTAATCTTAGATGGTAATCTCTCGAAGAGAAGGGAAATTCTTCATGCCAAACTTTGGAGAAGATATCAGGAAACCACTCCAGTATCTTTCCATAGAAAGAATAGTAATTCACAGATAATAAAGAAAAGTAATATGTGGAGAGCCATGATCACCTATGTCCTGTAGGGAAACGGCACTTTTTAAAGAATTTTAAATTCTCTTACCGTTCATATGCTGTTTACTTACCAAAGTATCTATTCTTGTCATTGTCTCTTTCTCTGTGTGTGCGCGCACACACACATACACACAAACACAAACATATATATATATATATATATATATTTTTATCATATATATGTACGTATGTATAAATATATATAATCTGATTTTTGATTTTGCATTTTGTTCATTATTATAATATTTATTATTATCAACTTTCACTACTAATATTATATGTATTACAGTTTTGAATGGTGACATTTTCTATATGGAGTATAAAATTGATATCGGCTAATACTTCCATGGATTTATTGGGTCATCTAACCCTGATGAGCGGTGTTACGCAAAACTCTGGAGTCAGTCAGTGATAAAAGTCCATTAAGCATATATATATATATATAAGATAACAGTGATAACAAACTTCTTTAATAAATCACACCAAAATTCCTCTTCTCAAAGAATATTTCTGAGCGAACTAAAACTCATAAGACAAGCATTAATCAACAATAATTTCCGCAATTACATGATTGATAAACAAATAAATTTATTTTTACAAAAATGACACGACACCAGTAATAAAAAAAATAACACATTTAAAAAACATTAACATATTTTATTGTAACCAAATAGACAATCATTATAAACAGGACGAATTCGAATTCGTTATACGAAAAATTATTAAACGCCATATTTCTGCCGTAAAATTTATAATATATTACAGGGAATGGAAGATCGCAAACCTTGCGGTTACTAATCAAAATAACCCCATTAAATCTAAACTAGCGATGACCAATATGGTGTGTATGAATTTCAATGCCCAGTACAAGTATCTTATCATAAATCAAATACCCATATTGGACACATTACCACCTCCCTGAGTAGACGCCTTACGTTTCAGTTATGTGACCATAGTGCCATAAAAAACATTTATTAATACATAATCTAAAAGAAACCTTATAGAAAATTCTGGTTGAAAACTCTAGAATTCTATATAAATGACATTATCAGAAACATCTTGTTATTCGAAAGACCCTATATATCAAACAATTCTCTCCTACCATCAACTTTACATTATTTAATAGGGGAAATAAAGTGTTGGATGTTATTTTTAAAAAATTTAAAAAAATAGAAAGAGGCTCATGCGAATTCCATTCTCGCGCGGCACATGAGAGCTTGGAATGGACGCTCCTTTTACAAACAAACAACGCAAACAAAATTTACAATGTTACAGTCAAGACACGAGGAAAAAATAACAATACCAAAGAAAAAAACACCCTTTAAAATGGCTGTAGAAGTGGCCGAAAGCACTTGGAACAATAAAAATATAGACAATTTTTATATTCCTTATCGCCTACAAAACAGAAAAAATGTTAGGATGCTATAAAAAAACTTAATAAAAAAATTAATTTTATTTTAAAATTTAAAATTTTTTATAATTTTTATATATATATATATATATATATATATATATATATATATATATATTAGATCTGACGATCAGAGACCAGAAAATGTTTTTTATATATATAACAACTACATCCTGGCCTCTGGTCACCGGATCCGATAAATATATATATATATATATATATATATATATGTGTGTGTGTGTGTGTGTGTGTGTGTGTGTGTGTGTGTGTGTGTGTGTTTGCGCGCGCTCGTGTGTGTGTATACCTTTATCGGATTCGATGACTAGAGACCAGAAAGTGTTATATATATATATATATATATATATATATATATAGAGAGAGAGAGAGAGAGAGAGGAGAGAGGGAGGGGGTGAGGGAGAGGGTGAGGGAGAGAGAGAGATTAAATCAACCCACCACGGACAGATTTCTGTTCTTTTCTCCTTTTCTCTATTGGTACATATACCGTTTTGTGCTATTATTGTTTGTTTGTTTTTTTTGTTTTGTTTTGTTTTTTTTTGTATTGAAAGTACGCTAATCTCACAATTCTCGGCAATGCATTGTCTAAAAGTTGGTGTATGTATGACGAAAGTACAATCTTATATATAGACTGTGTGGACATGGGAATTAACACATGCGACCTTAATGTTTGAAAATCTTAAAATCGTCCCAGTTTGAAGTTCGCTTGAGAAGTAAAACTGGCAGCCTCCATACAGTGTTGATACTTATCTCCACACTGTTTCTCTCTCACTCTAACTACCTCTCTTTTTTCTTTCTTTCTCCCCATCTCTCTCTCATTCAATTTCTCTCCTCTTTCTTTCTTTATATATATATATATATATATATATATATATATATATATATATATGTTTATTATATATATATACATACATATATATATGTATATTTATACATATATATATATATATACGTTTATGTAATTATATATATATATATTATATATAATATGTAATCATATATATATATATATATATATATATATATATATTAACATTAAATGACTACAGACTGCAATATTCAGACTAGTTCTGAATAATCTGTTTCTAACTCATTAATCTATATTTATAGGCTCGATTATTAATCTGCACCTCTTTACCCAGTCATTAATTTATAGGTATATATCTGTATGCTTTAATTTGTTTTCTTTTAGGTAATAAGAAAAAAAAACACAAAAACTCAGAAAAAAAAATTAATTCGTTTTCGATGCTTTTTTTGTTGTTGTTTTTTCTTATCATTATTTTTCTCATCTCCAAAAGATTTATCTAAAACTTGAATGTTTTGACTCTTGAGATAAAACGTGGCCAACTCCAAAAATATTCCCGCGAGACGCCGATTGGTGTCATCACCTAGGTTGAGTCATTAATTCGGGTGTGAAAATCTACTCGTTGGTTTGTGTCGAGAAATCAATTTATCTCAAGCGAGGAAAGTAATTTTTCATTTTCAAACAAAACCAACCCAGTCAAAGTTATAATGGGAAATGCTGACATTGCGGGCACATACTTGCTACTGGTGTTGTATTTCGAATCAAATGCATTTAGTTTTTAATGTGTGTGTGTGTGTGTGTGTGTGTGTGTGTGTGTGTGTGTGTGTGTGCGCGCGCACATACACACACAGCCGGGAACGCGTATCTACATGTACTTAAAATTTTGTTTCCATGTCAAACATACAGAGACGGATGTACACATAGACGCCGATGTGCATGCATTATTTGATTGAAATACTCCAACAAGACGCGGAAAGTGAAATCGGCATGCAGAGTTCGAATTCCGATCCCGTCTACTAGGGTCACTTTCAAACTTATATCCTTAGCGGCGTATTTGCAATATCAGTGGCTCTTAAAATACGCTGACTGTACGGCCTGCATTTAAGCAAGATCCCACCGCTACTATCAGCTACTTAAGGTTGGAGGAGGGAGGTTACTTACAGATCCCATTTGAAACCCAGCTAATGATCTTGAACAAAAAATCAATTTTCTCTACCTGGGTGTCACATATAAAATTAAGTCGCCCAGCAAAGGTTAACATATCGTAAACTGGACCTTACTGGTGTGAAGGCGTTTTTGTATGCATTTTTCACATTTGTATATAAGAAGGTGCAAAAATATACGTTTCACTCGTACATTGCCACTCCCTAATCCAGCTACACATATCACACACAGACACACACATACAGACACATATGTATGCGTGGGCGTATGAGTGATAACACACACATACAAGTGATATGCATATATTGTTCATACATATATGTGTATGTCTTGCACACATGCACCTATGTTTTTGAATGACAATTCAATATAATGGAAACATAAATACTCCTCCTACCCCCTTCTCTCTCTCTCTCTCTCTCTCTCTCTCTCTCTCTCTCTCTCTCTCTCTCTCTCTCTGATTATCTTTCACACATACATGCGTATATTGCCAAAGGTAGTTTCACTCAACACCGCAAATTGCTACAAAACCCAAAACATCAACCTGAAAACTCAAGTCATGTTCTTAAATAGCCTCATCAGATCAGAGACTTTTATATGGATGTCATGCAAGATGTTAAACCCATTCAGAAATATCTAAACTGTCAGTTTCATACAAACATCATTCTCAGATCAATGGTTAAAATAGTCTTTGAGCAAGTAAAGCCTAAGGGTCTTGGCAATAATCATCTATATTTGGACACTGTGGATTGGCGCTACAGAATCACAAATAAAGAACTGTACCAAATAACAGAAACCACATTACTTGAGGACTACAAACAGCAGCAACAACTAAAGTAGAATCATTTGAAGGTGGGGCACAAGACTGCGCTTGAGGTTCAACACTTTTATAATGCCTTTATAATGTACGGGCTTTGTGATAAATTTAACAGATTATAATAGATAAATAATGTTGGTTTTGTTATGTAGATGGAAATTCTTTGTTGTGTCCAGTCTTCCTAATCAGCTTCCTATCATCTATAACAAATTAAGTATAAGAGAAAAAGAAATTGAATTATGCCTGAGGTAGTTTTCACTCAACACCGCAAATTGCTACAAAACCAAAATATCAACCTGAAAACCCAAGTTATATTGTTAAATAGCCTCATCAGATCAGAGACTTTCATATGGATGTCATGCAAGATGCCAAACCTATTCAGAAATATCTAAACTGCAGGCTGTATAAAACCGCCTTCTCAGATCGTTGGTGAAAAAAAAAAAGGTTTGAACGAGTTGCAGCCTGTGGCTCTTAGCAAGGACCATCCTTCTTCGAACCATGTGGTCTGGCGCTACAAAATTGCAAAGAACTCTAGCAGATAGCAGAAACTACATCACTTGAGGACTTCCAACAGCAACAAGGCGGATATAATATGTAACTCGAAGAGAAAATAATGTCATAATCAAGGTGTTGACATTTCACACTAGTTCAAATAAAATGTTTGGAAAGAAACCCAGAGAAACCCAACTAGAAAGGCGATGTTCCAAAAAATAAGACTCGCTATAAACTTTTCAAAAACAGAAACTATGATCTGGAGTTGGGATGAAAAGAGTGATGTCCGCTTCCATAAATCAACCATAAAAATTCAGGATCTGGAATGAATAGATACTAAACACTTCAAATACGTCGCTGTATTTATGACATTTAGTATAGGAAATAAGGAAATTGAACATAGAATAGGTTAGAAGTACTTTCAGGAAAATTCAGGATCTCGAATGAATAGATACTAAACACTTCAAATACTTCGCTGTATTTATAACATTTAGTATAGGAGATAAGGAAATTGAACATAGAATAGGTTAGAAGTACTTTCAGCCAAAACCGCAATAAAAACAAACATTAACGTGAAAACTTGAGTCTTCTGAGACTAAATTCCCATTGAATTAATAGGAAGTTAGACAGAGATTCAGAATTTACAAGAGTCAAAAGGTAGATATTGTTAATAGTAATATTAATATTAGCCGTTTCCTTATAAGGAAATAATCGGTATTCATTGATCGAACAGCCAGTACCACTGAAATTTTCTTAAAATTTTTCAGGAAAATATGTTTCTCAAGTCCAGTAGTTGTTATCGTCTTTCTAGTAATTATTGGGCTTTCCTTTATTTGAAGTAGTGTGGAATATCAACATCTTATCTCCTCTTCTTTGTTGTCTCCACTTCAGTTGTTGCTGCCGTTGAAAGTTCTCACGTGATGTGGTTTCTGTCATCTGGCGCAGTTCTTTGTGATTCAGTATCACCAATTGACATGGTTCGAAGAAGGACGGTGGTCGCTAAGACCAACAGGCTGCACTCGATCAAACCTATTTTTAATGAGACGCCGGTTGTACAACAGCTGAACGAACTTAGCACCATGCAATGCTATCCATATGAAAGTCTCGATCTGACGAGACTATTTAAGAACATAACACGAGTTTTCAGGTTAATGTTTTGGTTTTGTAGCAATTTGCGGTATTGTGTGAAACTACCCTTAGCAATATATGTATGTCTGCTTGTGTGAAAGAGAGGATAAACAAAGAGGGAGAGAAGAGTAGGATGCTTTTGTTTCCGTTATATTTAATTGTCATTAAAAAACGTAGGTATATGTTTGCAAGACATACACATATCTGAATAATATATGCATAGCACTGCTTGCATATGTCATGTATCACTCATACGCACACACGCAAACATATGTGTGTCTGTATGGGTGTGTATGTGATATGTGTATTTGGATAAGGGCGTGGAAATATGCGAGTAAGCGCATACGTTCCTGCATCTTCTTTTGTGAGAAATGCATACAAATACACATGCAAACAAGTAAGGTTCAGTTTACGATATGTCAACTTTTGTTGGCTGACTTCTATATAATAAATATCAATGTCAGTGTGTCACTGTATCATACTTTTTCAACTTTACTCCTAGAGGCCGTAGCCCAACATAACACACCATTTTGGAATCAGGACGACTCCGTGATTAAATTAAAAATATTCCGGGGCTGATCCGGACCAGCAATCATGAAATTTTCGATTTCCAATTTTTCATTGTTTTCGGCGATTTTTTTACGTGATTTTTTGCCACGAATTTTTTGTATCATGACAATTTTTATAACTTGGAAATAAATTTGGGAATAAACAAAATTAATAGCAAAATCCAGCGAAAGTCACTCATAAAATAAAAATAATTGTTTGTACGGAAAGTAAGGACCTACGTACATCAAACAGTCTTTAAATTAAGTGATGACAGAAGAATTATCGTTAGACTTTTAAAAGTTAAGCTTAAATATTAATGTAATGCAATACTTAAAGGCAGCGATCAATTTTGAGTTCTTTTGTAGTTTATTGTTGCTTATCGCATCTACTCCTCCCTACTTATTCTGGTAAAGGCCCAATTAAGAGCCTTCCGCAGGGGCTAGCTTAAATGCCGCCCGATATAGCGGCTTTTAAGCTAGTAATTTTATGTGGCACCCAATGCAGATTGAACTCATTTTTCAGTTAGAAAGGTCACCAGTCTAGTTCCTCTAACCCTCAGTAGATAGATACTGTGTAGAATGGTATAGATATATGGTATAGATAGATAGATAGATAGATAGATAGATAGATAGATATATCTGGATATCTGTTTTATCTTCTATACGTCTATATGTTTTTATTATTATCACCTGTTTCTCTCTTTCAACATAGTAATTCGTATAAATTAATTCATAAATTCCGTGCATAAATTCATTCATCCACTAAATACTATCATATTACAATGTTGCTTGTAACTTCGTTCCTTACTTAGCATGTACGTTACGCGATGATAATGCCTCATAAATAATGGACTATTCCGTTTTGATCGCAAGGAAACATGATAAAGGCATATCAGAGACGTTTGGTTTCAGTGAGAAAAATCAAGAAAGAAAGAAAATAAGAAAGAGGAGGTGATAATGCTATCATATAACTAAAATTTCCTTCAGTGACGTGAAAAATCTGTCGATTTTCAATCTTATTTCAATACTGACCTGCATGCATCAATACTGGAAAGAGCGATAACGGCTACTGGACTTGGGAAAACTATTTTTGCTAAACATTTTTTAAGTGAAAGACTTTATGAATTTCAACTTACAGTCAATGAATGGCAAAAATTTCCTTTTAAGAAACGCCTAACATTACCATTACCATTCATACTGATGATTGTTATCGCAATATATTGTTAAAGTTGTCGAGCTCAAATATTTAACGCAGCAATATGGAAATTTCATGGGGTACTTCATGTCATCGTGGAACTCGCAATGACTTTATTATTGATTAAATATTATAATATATCAGAAATTTCAAATAGGAAAACCATGAAATTTTCACGTGTAATATATACTTATTATCAGCCACAAAATTACAGGTAATGAAATTAGGATTTATCTAAATCTCAGAGCTTTATTATTTTTATTTTGCTTTTACAAAAACAAAAACGTTCATGATGATAGAGTTGTATTTTTTTACTACCTTTTCTACCTCAATGAAAAATAATTGCTCATCAGAAATTACTAGAATCAGAACAAACTTATAATTTGAATGTGATATAACAATGAATTCTCCCTGTTCATCGGAATTAATCCCCAATTAAAACAAAATGAAACTGCGGTATTGAAGCCACAAAGATGATGATACGACGCCAAGTAATTATCATGCAATAATTGCACTACATTAGTCCATTAATCAGATGGGTGCGTAACATATTGGTTATCGACGCAGAAAATGAAATCGGCGTATCGAGTTCAAATTCCAGCCGGCTTCATTGCGATCACTTTCGCACAAATACACTTGTAGGAAATTTATGAATCCAACTCTTCTCCCTCCAGTTATAGGTTAAATAACAGGGCAAACTGAGTGACAGATCTAATTTCAACTCGGAACGAATTTCCATTCGGAACTAATTTCACCTCGGAATTAATTTCAACTCGGAACTAATTCCAAATCGATTTAAAAACCCTAACCTGTAATATTAACCCTAACCTTAATCCTAACCCTTAGTTCTGAGGTGAAATTAGTTCCGAGTTGAAATTAATTCTGCACCCCGGCAAACTGTACTTGTTTTTAATAGTTTATTTTCTCGCACTTCTCACCTGTGGAACACTGTTCCGATTTCATGTTTTGATGCCACCGCAGTTACTTAAGTGACATACGCGATACACGGTTGGCCGATTATACCTCTTTCGATTCATGACTGACTAGACAGAAGGTTTTCCCACTGTATGTTGCCATTTCTTTCTGTCTTAGACTGGTTGCCAACTAAGAGTATAGGACCCAGTCTTTCCTACTATTCAACATAGCTGGGGGGGGGGAGAAAGGATGAATTCATAATTTTCCTTGGGGTATTTGCGCCTAAGTGAATGTATCGAATCCTGCCACCTACAATCTTCAAACAATTAAAATGCAATGTCAATCGTCAATCTTTTATCTTCCTGAATCCTGCTTTTTTCATTGTTCTTTCTCCTCATTTGTCTTCTCATTCACTTCCACTCTCACTAACCTCCTTGCGTCGTAGCTGCATTATCGCCTTGCATGGGGTAAAATGATTAAAAGAAAGAAAAAAAGGCAGGCTCTCCATTCAAAATCATTTGGATGCATGACTATGGTCCGATTCGCCACAGAGCAGTTAGCATTAACGTTTTATTCAGGTGAGGATCCTCATATTTATTGTATCGATTCGGTTGCGACCTTTGTGATCAGAAAAACAATGGCGGTTCGAATAATTCATAGAGAAATTGCAATACATTTGTCTAAAAACATATTCAGACAAAGATCGTTTTTGTTGTTTCGACCCGGTTTTGATAAATAAATTCAAAGATTTACGGTTCATAATTGCTTCAGTTTATGCCTGATTACACTCTTCTCCTTTTTCTATGACAGCACAACTTTCTACTAATCATTGCTTAGTAGGTAGACTCAAATGTTCACCAATACTCTCAGAATTCCGCCTGTCTTCAAGTGCCGAATTTGTCAATATTTGGTTTGGTTTAGTTTGGTTTAAGGCATATCAACCTCAATGGGTTATTTAATACCGACAAGATTTTTATTATTGGTAATGTTTTTTCGAAAAATATTTCTAGTAATATTTTTTCCAAAAATATTTTGCTGGTAGTTTAAAAGAAAAAAAAATCTATTGCTGGTAATATTTTTTTTTTCCAAAAAAGTATTGCTGGTAATACTTTTTTACAAAAAATTATTGCTGGTAATAAATTTTTTTCTTCAAAAAATCTATTGCTGGTATTAAAACCTATTTTTACACGTTTTGACTCCAGTTTAGGCTTTAACTATTTGGCCATACCTGGGACCCTAACAGGTGCTACCATCCTGTGTCAGGGTGGTCTTTGGAACACCAGCAATTAAGAGGTGGTTCCACGCTTGTCAAAACCTCCTAATCAGAGGACTTTCTGTCAGATGTAGTTTATCATGTTACCCAGTACATGGATGTAGTTTATCGTCATACCGAAGACAGGCGTCATTATTTAAATACTTTTTTACATCTAGAATTGTCTGAGCTGTTCGAAAACGGCTTTTTTTAAAAATGGGTTTTAATGATTATGAGCACCACTTTTATTCTCATGTTTCATAATTTTCGTAGCTCTTCAGCAAGGTCTTGATCTACATGCGTGCTTGCGCGTATGTGTGTTATTCTTATATTTTAAAAAAAGATATGTTAGGATGATATATCCAATCTTTAGCGTGGATTCCCTTCTTTTTTTTCTTTTTTGCAACAATTATTTTTTGACTAATTTCACGGTTTTCCTATTTGAATTTACTTATGAATCTTAATTCCTAAGTTAATGACTGAATCAGCTCATGGCGTGTTCTACGACAATAAAATATCCGTAGAAACTCCCCTATCACATGGTTAAATATTTGAGCTTAAAATCTTTAAGAAAATATTGCAATAGCAATGAATGCTGATTGTTATTTTCAGAAGTGGGTACAAGCGAAAAGATTTTCCATTTCACTGGAGCAGCCGTTAAAAATTACTGTTGGGTTGATGCATAATTATCAGCCGTTTTTGTAGGCGACTTATTTAATAAAAATTGTTGTTTTGCTTACTTTTTTAATAAAAAATATTATTTTATTTTCAGGTTATAAAAATGTGTGTCGATAATCATACGCTCCGGAATAATCATTTAGAAATATTATTGTTGAATTGCTATGTTTCTTTTTTTCATAATAAATATTGTTTAAAAAATGCCTGATAATTATGCACCAACCCAATATCTTCCCTTTCTTTGTTTTATTTATTTTCTCATTGAAAACATGTAGCGGATGTCTTTTGTTTTTTTACGCAATGAAAATGGAGTAGTCAATTATTTATGAGGTATTGCCAGGTATATTTCCTTATTTCTTTTAAAACTTCTACGTATTTTTCCATGTTTTCTAATCTCACCACAAGGCTTTTATGAACTATTTCATGTGCATTCATCAATGATGAGATCAATTAACACATTCATATTCTACAATCTTATTTTGTTCTCTTACAAGGTTCAGAGATTTTTTTTTTTCCGATCATTCACTTTCATGCTAAATTCTTCTGGAATAGCGACTTCGACTACTGAAGCAATTTTCTTTGTTCACTGTGATTAAATACCATCTCCTAGACTGGCTTAGTTGACCAATTTCAAGTTGAAAACCCAAATAATTCATTCCAGCTTCTGTATTGTAACATTCAATAATGAGACCTAATTGCCAAACTAGTACTAGACTTAAATTTATGAAGTCAGGGGATCAAAGCTGAAAGCTAACGCACTAACCACACGCTCAAACATATATGGTGGCTACCATCTATATCCTTGTAATATTTAGTTGGGTTTTGAACGGAGAGGTGGCTCTTTAAGCTGGACAAAATTTAAAGCCTCTGATACAAAGTTAGCAGCCATGAAACCGATCTATACATATATGCAGATGAACTAAGATAGATAGATAGATAGATAGATAGATAGATAGATATGAATAGTCTGTAATAGATGAATTCAAATACATGCATATAAACAAGCAGTGATATATACATACATACATATATGATGGCTGTCGACACGTTAAATAAGCATGTATATCGCTGACTTTTAACGTAATTTTCTATTATCGGTCATGAGACTAGGAGTGACATTTGAAACCAAATAGATTCATACCGACATATGAAGACGCTGTGATAGATAGATAGATAGATAGATAGATAGATAGATAGATAGATTAATTCTAAGGGATATATAGACACGAAAAATTTCGTTTTAAATGGATTCGTCCAAGTATTTCAGAAAAAAAAATGAGCATTACAAATTTTCTCTATCTACAAACTCTTCTATTTTTTTACATAAGTTTTTTCAGCATTTACTTTTGTATATTTATTTCTTTATCTATTTTGCCTTTTACGTATTTTTGCACTTACTGCTTTCCCTAACCTTTTGCAGCGAACATTTGTGAAATAAGTTGTTACGAAAAATAACGATTAATTGACCTTCCATCGATCTTTTGTTTTGGGTTTGTTTCTGACTTTTATTTTTTTTTTCTATCTTTTTTGTAATTTTTGTGATTTCTTTTTTTTTTTTTTAGCCTCCTTCTTTTCACAAAATGATAGCTGAGCAGCATTATCAGGAAAGATATGAAGATATGCAATTTTTTTTCAGGCGGAAAATATTTCGGAGACATTAAAAGAACGGGTATCTTTGGGGTAAGGGAAGAGAAACTTGCAATAACAGGATCTGAATTGGAAACAAAAGAAGCAGTAAAAAAAGTCAACCATTTCCTTTTCGCAGCCAAAAACTGATTAATCCATGTCTCTTTGTAGTTGATTTGAATATTTCATGATTCCTATCGACTGCTGATGCAAAGGTTCGTGCCATAAAAGCCTGACGAGTAATTTTCGTTACACCGAGCTTCGCTCGCGAAAGCAGGTAAAATTGTCTGCGGGAATGAATAACAACTGAGGGATGTTTTATAATGTTTGAATAACGCACGCAAAAATCATTTCTATTTTTCGGGGTTTTTTTCCGTTTTAGTTAAAGGTTTGTAACGTTTGGGGAGAAGAAAAAAAATCAAAAATCTTATCAAACTCACTACTTGATTAAGGCCCCTTCGGGTGATATTTTTGCCTCGCTGATGAAAAACGAGAAGAAACAACAAAATTTCGCTCTAATGCTCATTACAAAGACATAAATACGAATTTTCACGCACCCAGTCACACGACTGGTTGTCATGACTTGTTGTTGACATGGCAAGTAGAGCTGAAGAAAAATGACAATAACTCCACCCATGTCAGCCGTACTATTATTTCGTTCCTTCGGTAAATTCATCCCAAATATATATATATATATATATATATATATATATATATATATATATATATATGTGTGTGTGTGTGTGTGTGTGTGTGTGTGTGTGAAAATATATAGAAAATAGGAAAGAACTCGTTAGGTAAATAATCCAAAGTTCTTTAGTATTTTTTTTATTATTTTTTAAAAAATAGTGCTTGATACAGAGCATAAATATAATTATTTATTTAAAAATATGAATGGAATCATATTTTTAAATAAATAATTATTTATATATATATATATATATATATATATATATATATATGTGTGTGTGTGTGTGTGTGTGTGTGTGTGTGTGTGTGTGTGTGTGTGTGTGTGTGTGTATACAGTGCTGTTCGATAAAAGTGACTCACCTGATTTTTTTTACTTAAAATTTTTTTCGCCTATTGTTTTTGGGGTCAAACGAATTTTTTATCTTACTAATATAAAAAACCCTTCCTGACTACCTAGTAAAAAAGTTTACTCACCCTAAGGTATTCTATTGATAATTATAATTTTGGATATAAATGGGATTTAGGGGAAAAAAAAGTGACTCACTTATTTTCTTGCAACTCGTAATCAATAGAAACATAACTGAACAGCTTTAAATAAAGAATAATAGAGGTATAATTTATTTATAATAGGTAATATAGTTCGAAATATTTATTAATCTATGGGTCCTCCTTTATTTTGAATAACTTTTTCAACCTTTTTTGGCATTGACTTGATTAGGTTCTGGAAAATCTCATCTCCAAGCATTGAATTCCATTAGGATATGAAATTCACAATCAAATCCTCTTTGTTGTTCAATTGCTTTCTCGAGAGCCTGTACTTTATAATGCTCCATAAGTTTTTTATGGGGTTGAGGTCAGGAGATTGGGGAGGCCATGTCATAACACTCACTTGCTTCTCATCAAAGTATTCCTTCATCAATTTTGATTTGTGACAGGGAGCATTATCCTGCGATTTGCACCATTTCAGCAGAAGGGAGCAGACAAAGCTATTAAATTTTCTTGTACTGCTCGCTCCTGAGGGTCTTTTCAAAAGGTTTTAAGAAACCAGTTTCATGAAAAGAAAAGCATCCCCAGAACATTATACTGAACGGATGCTTGACAGTACTTACTGCTAAATTCAAAGAACTTTCAAAGCTTCTTCTTCGAATTTTAGATCGCTTATCCTTTGAATTTAGCCCAATTTTCGTTTCATCGGAGAAGAGAACATTTAGTAAAAATACCGAACAGCACTGTATATATATATATATATATATATCAGGTCATACCATAAGTTCTGTCCGAATTTTAACTTTTTGTTAAAATGAACGAAATTTAAAGAGTATTTTATAATGTCTAATGGAGCTGAACATTATTTTTATATTTAGATGCATTTAAACTGATCAAATTTTATTTCAGAGAACAATAAAATTAAATTTTGTTTGATTAAAACCCTGCTAACATGGAACTACCCAAGAATCATTTGAGGCACATAATGCTTTATGAGTTCAAGAAAGGAAACTCAGCAGCCAAAACGGCTAGAAACATTCACTCAGTTTATGAAGAGGAATGTGTGAATGAAAGAACTTGCAGAAGATGGTTTGCAAAATTCAGAGGCGGAGATTTCACCCTTGAAGATGAAGATCGAACCGGACGTCCAGTTGAGTTTGATGAAAAGCTTCTTGAAGCAGCCCTTGAAGAAAATCCTGCTTTATCAGGTGAGAAATTGGCAGTGGTTCTCAGTTCAAACCATACAACTGTTCATCGTCATCTTCAACAACTTTGAAAAAGTTCCTAAACTTGGAAAATGGGTGCCTCATGAATTGTCTGAAAACAACCTCAAATCCCGAGTTGACATCTGCTCTTCTCTCATTCTCGCCAACTTGTTTCACCTTTTTTGGATAGACTTGTGACTGGCGACGAAAAATGGACCTTTATCGAAATGTTAAGCGTCGTAGACAGTGGCTTTGGTAAAGGGAAGGACCCCAGCCACAGCCGAGAAGGTAACTTCATGGGCAAAAGGTTCTTCTTTCAATCTGGTGGGATCGCCAAGGAATAATCCACTTTGAATTCTTACCACCTAATGCAACAATTAATGCTCAAATATACTGTCAGCAATTAGAGCGTTTGAACCAAGCTTTGAAGAAAAAAAGACCTGCTCTCGTGAATCGAAAAAGGGTGATGTTTCATCAGGACAATGCGCGACCCCACACAGCAAGAATCACGTCACAAAAGATCGAAGAACTTGGTTGGGAGAAAATTCCTCACCCACCTTATTCTCCCGATCTTGCTCCTTCAGACTACCATTTGTTTCGTAGCTTACAGAATCATTTGGAAGAAACACCTTTTATAACACAGGAAGAGGTTAAAACTGACATTTGTGAGTTCTTCGTATCAAAGCCAAAAGAATTTTACAGTAATGGAATTAGTAAGCTTGTCAATAGATAGAAGGAAGTCATAGATAATCAGGGAAAATACATTGTTGATTGAATCTGTAATTAAATGTAACATTTGGTCATTTGTTTTCTTTATTCAAAATTCGGACAGAACTTATGTGATGACCTGATATATATAAATATATATATATATTAGAGGGTGTTTGTGTGTGTATGTGTATGCATGTGTGTGTGTTGTGTCTATTATTGTTTATATAATAGTATATAAATAAAAGTGCACTCAAATATTCGTAAATATTTATGTGAAAATAGATATGCATGTAAGTAGTTCACGCACACACGTACATATATATGCTGGCGTACAAGGCAACTGGGTGTATAAGTCGACACCCAAATTTTCACTTTTGTAGGTTTCAGTCGATAACCACCGAATAAGATGACCTCACCCACACAAATCGTATTTAAAAATGTATTATATGGAATTGATTTAAATAAATTCAGTAAGTATATACTTTCTTTTCACACAAATTCTAATGAAAAAACGGTGGGGAGATATTGTCACTTAACTACCATAATCAAGAATACCACTTGAGGGGGTCCGATGTTTTCAATAGTCTATTATGGCAGCATGAATACCATTTCCACGCTAAACCTTCCACTCGTTGTACTGTTCACGAATGCGATCTTTAAACGGCTTGTTGAGACACACATCCAGTTGTGTTTTTGTTCGATATCATCGAAAAAAGGAGGCGAGATATTTTCAATTAACTCACCACTGGATTTAAGGTTCACATTTTATACCTGGGGTACAAGATGGACCCCTACTTTAAGGTTAAAAGTTCGTCTTGTTCGCCGACAGATACGTTATATATATATATATATATATATATATATATATATATATATATATATATATATATAAAATGTATGTATATATGTATGTATATATATAATATGTATATATATATGTTGAAGCTTGGATAAGCATGGAATAATAATAATACAACACAAAATGTACGTAAACAAAATGTATTGAAACAAGGAAAAGGTACACAATATTTACAGTTAGTCTTGGTATATTCTTGGGAAGACTGTTCCTGTAGAATGGGTTGACTTAATCGCAGTCGGGCAGAGTCTCTGGATTGGATCTCTTGTTCTTCCCTTCACTTCTCGGTACCAACCATATTTATATGGTCGGTACTCCAATATGTAAATTAGGTGGATCGTACCACAACAATATATATATATATATATATATATATATATATATATGCAATTCAATATATATTATTTATATATTATATATGAGCGGTACTTATTAGAAAGCGCTCAATATCAGTGATAGAGCTAGCATATTTATATGCGTTGATATGAGTTTGTCTGACGATCGCGTGAAACCCAGGGTCACAAACTCACATCAACAATTATATATTATATATATATATATATATATATATATATATATATATATATATATAAACGGCATTATATTTCCACAAAAAAAAAATTCTACTATCCAATTAGTCCCTACGTAACAGAAGGTATTTCTTACTAAATTGCATCGCGGAAAAAGTCGTTCCTCGCAGTACTTTTAAAGTATTACGGAATACAAATATCTTCACCAAACGCACCTGCGACTAAATATGACACAATCACTAACTTAACAAAGAATCACAATTTCAACGACACTGATTATGACAAAAGGTTTCATACATGACATATTAGCATCCTTCATAAGAAATACTCTCGAGACTACACTACCCAGGAGATAAAAACCTGTCCATAAACAAAAACATTGTTATAACCCCATTCGATAAAGGAGGCGATATCGTTATTATCGAAAAATAAAAATTTGTATCCCTCATAAGTAATGACAACTTTTTTCTTTTCGGATGATAAATTATATCAAAACTATCCGAATGTTCTTTTTATCCGTGCATTTTCGGCTATACATTTAGTCATTTTCAAGGATTAAATATTTTAACTATTAAATAAGATATTTAAAAATAAATAATTTTAAAATAAAATCTATCCTATATATTCTCCACTTACTTTGCTCTTCTTACATTCATACAAGAAATTCACTCAGTAACCCGCTACCTTAAGTGGCACTTGGGTCTTTCATTTTGTGACTATGCACACTTGTATAAATTAATTGAGACAACTTCTTTAGTTTCCTTTCTTTCACCATACGGTCAGTTTTAGAGCCACTGGAGTTACAGGTTCTAATCGATTTCTATTTTTACTCAGATTAGGTCATTTGCAGTGGTGTGCAATAATATGAATCTATTTTCGGGGTCTATGATGAAATTTATTTGGCCTTGAAAAATATTGCGTCATCCGTGATAGCATCAGATTTTCATCACGTTCAGACCATATATTGTGTCGACTGTCGATTAGTTGTTCTACAGCCATTGTCTGCGATGGACGTTACTCCAAGGAAGCATACAAAAATTGTAAGGCTGCACGAACACAATGAAAAACCCTGCTAGTGAGCAAATAAAAGTACTATCGACTGGTTTGGAAACTCTCCTGATTTAAAACCAATCGAGAATCTGTGGTCAATCTGCAAGGACAGACTTCGTGGAATGGACATACGAAGTACTAACATGTGCACTGGGTCATGTTTCATTTGAAAAATACGAAAATATATAATAACGGAATTATTCGTTTTGTTTCAACTAATTTGCACAAGAGTGTATATACAGTACTCTCCAAAAGTATTGAAACGACATGGCTAATTCATTTGAGTTTAATTCATTTCATTTGAGTTTAAGATCAAAGGATCTTAAACCTAAATGTCTTCAGTGAACAACAAAAATAAAGCAACTAGCCTTGCAGTTCCAATACTTTTGCAGGGGACTGTATATATATATATATATATATATATTATAAATTAATTTATTTAATTTTTTTCGCTACACAGTTCTAACCATGTTTGCGAATTTTGGAGCCTCCAAAATTCGCTTGAGGATGAAATGGAACTAATGTCTTTAATTTAATTACAAAATTAAATTCGGAGCTTTCAGCTTCCATTTTTGAAACATGGTTAGAACTGTGTAGCGAAAAAAAACATATTTTAAATCAATTAATTTATAATAGTAATGCTCTGTAAATTTGCATTGAGCACTATTTTGTAAAATAAAAATATCTATAAGATTTTATCTTACTGTTCTTTCTTTTTAAATATAAAATATATATATATATATATATATATATATATATATAATAAAAACTTAAACACTAATATTCCATAAGGAATCGTAAAAACACCGGATTATATATCTTATATTGAGTTCTTTCTTTTTTTTTCTGAAAATATACATGTATGGGATTTTTTTATATATTTTTCATATGTATATATTTTCCACTAATATATATATATATATATATATATATATATATATATATATATATATATATATATATATTCGTGAAAATCTGTCTTTTAGAAAATCTGGTGTTAGGATACTATTTTTGAATCGAGTTTATCCCATGCAAGGCAATAAAGCCACTAAGATTCAAGGGGTTACTTGGTGTGAAAGAATTAGCATAATAAAATAAATATCCAGATGTTGGACATTTTTTGTCTTTATTTTCACCCGAAATGAAAGCAACCATACGAAGTTTAGAACGGCTCACAATCAAACATAATAGACATTCATTGTATCCTTTATTTAATAATAAACTGCGTCTAGAGATTATATGCAAAAGAGGTATTGTCTAATATCTTATGTAAAATTCATAGATATGTGTTATCCAATGAAATAATTTGTACTATTATGTAAAGCGAGTAAGCATGAAAGCAATTAAGTCCCAATTTTCAATTTCAGATTGGTATTTAGTATTTTTTCAGTAATTATAACAAATTGCAGTGTCAAGAGATTATTTGCAAGAACTAGAATTTAGTATTATGGCTCGTAAAAAAGAACTAACAATGAATGGAAAGACCTATATAATCAAAGAAATTAGCAAATTCGCTTCAAATTTCTAAGGATTTGAAAAGGGATCATCGAACAATCAAGAAAATATGTCAAATGGGAATTCATCCAAGAAAAAAAGGTCTCAGGCTGAATTCAGTAATTTAACAAAGCGAGATCTATCACATATCCGAAGAGAATTAATAAGAAACCCAAATGCGTCATGTGCGTTCATATTTGAGGCCGCTGGAGCTCCTATGGTGTCAAGGGAAACAAGGTGTGAAGCATTAAGGAAGTTTGCTGATGTAAAAATCAAATAAAGAAACCTATTTTAACAAAAAAAAAACATAAGGAAAGAAGATTGCAGTTGGCAAAAAAATACATGAAAACTGATTTTTTACAGACGAATCAAGGATCACCCTCGATGGGCCCGATGGATAGGCTCGAGGAAGGGTTTGCAAGCAACATGACTCAAGAAAAATTTTTAAACGCCAACAAGGCGGCGGTATGATCATGATATGGGCTGGGATTATTGGTAATGAGCTCGTGGGGCCATTTAAACTGAAAGACGGGGTTAAAATGAATTCCAAAAGTTACTGTGATTTTCTAGAGCAATATTTCTTTGAATGGCTTGATAACCAGTCTTTAGCCAAGCGTAGATCTATGATCTTTATGCAAGACAACGCACCGTCATGTATCAAAGTTTACTAAATCCTGGTTGAAAGAAAAGGGGTTTGCTGTGACTTGAATCCCATTGAGAACCTGTGGAAAGATATTTATTCTAATGGAAGGCAATTCAACAGCAAGTGTGACCTCTGGGAGGCAGTTAAAGTTGCTGCAAACAACTTACCAGCCGCTAAAATTGCAAATCTAACATCAGATGTTGACAATAGGCTGCTAAGAGTTATTGAAAAGAAAGAAGCATCTGTGCAATAAATTTTAGGAGGTTTTTATTATTTTTTGTTAATATATCTTTTATTTTTTAAATAAGATTTTTTATGTTTTTCCTTTAAGAAATTGACGAATTTGTTCTAAAATCTTTTCATATTATTTTTTTACATTAGTTTTACAAGGTATAATAATGTAAAAGTATCAAAATGAATAGTTGCAAATAAACTACTGACAGTCAAATTAGTCTGTTTTGTTAAGTTAGTAAAATTTTTTCCAGCCAAAAACAATAGTTTTCTCTATCACTATATATCTAAGTTAATAATATTGAGTAGAATCTAAACAACATCATAATAGGACTTTTAACATTAAATACGCAACTCTTTATACCAATTCATAACTTGCATATAATTTCTAGACGCAATTTATATGTTTGAATATATATATATATATATATATATATATATATATATATATATATATATATATATATATGAATATATGAATATAAAGTGAACATTAAATTCAACACTAAGAGGCGACAGGCTGTTTCCAGCTGAATACAATCGTCAGGCCGGCCTGACGATTGCATCAACATTCAGGAATCATGCAGGCACAGAATTGAATTTTGTTTTGAAAAAGAAAGGATTTTGAACAGCGCATATAACAATTAAATAACTAGAAAATGTTCCTGAATAATTATACCTTTAATAAAGTATTCCTACGTTGCGCGACTTTTTGCCTTTACTTTGTATATATATATATATATATATATATATATATATATATATATATATATATATATATATATATATATATGTGCGTGTGTGTGTGTGTGTGGCAAAATATATGTATAGATGCATCTCTATTCATATATATGTATTTAATGTATATGTGTATTTGTGTGTGTGTATACGTACATGTGCATGTGTCCGATATGATTTAGTGTTGTGGTGACATCTGTTATACGAGGAGGGGAATTTTGCTCCCAGCTGAAAAGTATAATTGCTGCTTGAGAAAATGCAAACTATGACTAATAAAAATGTCGTGTTTTCATATCTGCATCAAATTCACAGACAAATATACGAAGCAAATTGTCCACGCCGCCAAATGTCAATATAACAAGGCGAATTGCTAAAACTTCCGGTGCTATGTCAGACCGAAACATCGAGTTTTCAACTTGAAAAAGCAGAATTAGCTGTGCGCCTTTGTTTATCCTATGATTTATCTATATCCGTCAGCGAACGGACACGGGGGGTCTCCATGCACTGACCCAGCTATTAGTTTTATTAATTAATTCGTTAAACCTGCAAAATCAAATTTGGACGCTGGCGATAAATATGTCGATGAAGAGACCACCAGAATTGATTCAATGCGTACCAGGGGTCACTAAGGATGATTAAATGCCTAAACCTTTACAGCGAATCAAGATTTTTTATTTTTATTATTATTATTATTATTATTATTATCGGTAGCCTCCGAGAAAATCTCACCTCGACTCGAAGACTTTGGGATTTGTCGTCGAATAACTCTATGCGCTGAGCTATGTAAATGTATGTGCATGAAATGTCCCACCACATAGCTGGAATTATTTTTGTCGGTGATGTGATGCTGGGACAGAGGTGTGTTTTTATGCATGACCCAATTTTCATTGAACACGTTAGCGTACCCCCTGAGATTAAAGCATCCTATCGCAAACGACGTGATACTTACATATTTGTCTTGATTTTCTTTCTCCACGGCCCTCGTGACCGTTCAGTAATAACTTTCTCTTTGTAATTGCCTTTATAACAAATGCTCAAACTCGACTTGTTCGACGAGAAAAGAAAAAAAAAAGCAAATAAAAACAGCTAATTGATTCGCCGGTATTTTTCATAAATATTCATGAGTTGCGTTTAACATTTCGTATTTAAAGGTGTTCGAGTCGAGTCTGGCCGCGGGCAATGACACCCTTTCATTGCTCGTGTCGCTAGTTAGTTATTAGCACACCCAACAGGGCTAATAGATGACGTTGAACCCAATGCCGGTTCAGAACTTTTTTTCTTTTTTTTTTTTTTAATCTTTCATCTTTTAAAAGAAAACCCTTCTTAACATGGCTAACATAACGCCAAATTGATTTGTTGTTTTCTGGACGAATATTTTTGCTTGTTATTGAATTGTTTTTGTTTGTTTGTTTTCTGGACACTTGTTATTTTTCTCTAAACATCAACTGTCTTCTGTTCGTTCATAATTCCTTGCTTTATGCGCTATTTTATACTTTAATCAGGAAAAAAAAAACATCAAGGAAACCATAAGAGGTTCATCTACTTTCTCAAAACTTTCAATGTTCAGGACGAAAAAGAACAAGACAAATAACTTTCTGACAAGGTAGGCTGTGACATTTCAGGTAAATAATAACAAAACCCTAGGCCTTTTTGTAAAAGACGATGATTTATAGTCAAGTCAAACTCAGATGATTGGGTTGATTATATGTTGGCAAATGAAATCTGCACGCGGTGGTTTGTTTTGTTTATCTTTGACACTAGCAAGATGGCGTTTATTGCCCCGTTAAGTTCACTTTATTCTATCTTGCCTATCATGCCTTTAAATGCAGTTACATCAGTACGATACCGGCGTTTGATCGCTTGGTTCTTGCGAGCAGTGGCCTATCGTTAAATATATCAGTCGAGTGCTACATATATTTTACAAGTATATAGCCATGGTTGGGGGAAGAGAATAGTCTTCCTTTCTGCTTTGTAAATTAATGTTTCTTTCTCTTTGGTGAAGTTTTGCTAATGCGTATTACAGACCCGGCATGGACATTTAATGTCCTTTTTAAATCATTTTCAATTTTTAAAACTTTAAGAATCCGATAATGAAAATAATATTAGCTACATCCCTGCGTGGCCGAACGTTACCATTCTGACCATGAGAAACCACGTTCGAATCTCGGTCAGTCGATTTTTCATATCAACCTGAAAACCATACCAAGTGAAATTGTGAGAGAAATTGGGTAAACGAGTATTCGGAAGCTGTTGATTGTTGTGCTATCAACAAGTCATCGTGACGGAGGCTTTGAGCGTATTCAATCATACAAAATTATACGCTGTCTTCCATAAACTGTAACTAATGTTCACTAGAACATAGTGTTAGTATAAACCAAAAGTTGGTTCTCTTGGTATTAAAATAACACAAATGTGTCTGAGCAGGCGTCTGCAAAAGGGATTAACTAGCCACCCTAGCAGGCAGACATACTTAAATACCAGCGACCATCCATATTTTTTACTTATTGACACTTTGATCCAATGAGACATAACCAGGTCTAGAATAAGATTATATTTTTATCGAGAAACCATTTCAATCGGAAATTAATATTATCGGTGTTCATGCCCAGAACGAAAACTATTGCAATATTCTGAATATATATATATATATATATATATATATATATTCGTGCAAAGTATAAATACATATGGCATGGAACAATTTTTTATAAAAGCTACATTTATCGAGCACCCAGTTGCAGTCATATCACGTTGAAACACTGGTCTTCGGGCGATCAACGAAGTTAAGCAACATCGAGCCTTGTCAGGACTTAGATGGATGACCGATTGCGAATACTAGGTTCAGTAAGCTTTGATATGACGGTGGTGTAATGGGTAACGATCTGTAATGTGAAATCGGAGAGCCGAGTTTCAATTCCAGTCGGGTTCGTTGTATTTACTTACGCGCAAATACCCTTGGAAAAGGCATGTATCCACCGTTTCTCTTCCCAGCTATGAGTTAATTACTAAGATTTTTTATCAATAAATCATTATTATCTTCTTTATGATCTAAAAATATTTTCTGCAAAATCTGCAAAAGGTTGATTAGCCATAAAGAAACAAGTCAAGCATGTATGCCGTGATGAACAAAAAATTTTATAATGACTTGCGAAATTAGCTATTCTTTTGTTTCCGTAACTTTTCATTTTATCCCATTAATGATCAACGTCCCATTTTTGTAACCATAAGTATTAATGAATTTATTTTGTAGAAACCTTTTACTAATACCGGATTTTTCTATAAACCATTTAGTATTGATTTTTTATAAAATAAATGTTCACTGATTTTTAAAGAAAATTTTAGAGACCTATAATTAAGACTGTATTAATTATTTTTAATTGTTTATGATTAATTCTGGATTTTAGAGTAGGCATTACCGGATTAATAGATTTGTTGCTTCTCTGCTGGGACAAATGAAAAATAAACACGGAACCGACGTGTATTTTGATTTGGTCTGGTTTGGTTTGTTTTACGGCATATCAACCTCAATTGGTGTCATATAGGAAGAAAATGAGTAACTACCGACACCGAGGTTCGAGCGTGACTCTCCGGACTTACGAATATATGTTTTCCGCCAGGTGTATAAATAGCGGTGTCAGGCTACTGACTGCAGTGATTATTGAGTGACTATTGAGTGGAACTATCCAGTCGAATTAGTGTGAATTATTGTGCGTCGATGTTTTGGGTTTTGATTTAGGATTTACCGGACGTTAAGCCGAGCCGCGTTACTAACAAGGTATTCACTGAAATGGTTAATTATCTTTGATTGTCTCTTACTTCTTTGTTTTTGTTAAGTATTTATTTGCGGTTTTAATTAAATACTGTTTTATTTTAACATTGAAGCCTTGAGTTATACTTAACGGCCACCATATGTCATTAAAATGGGTTATTTAATACCGACAAGATTTTTATTACTGGTAAGGTTTTTTTATTACTGGTAATTGTTTGTTTTTTGTTTTGTTTTTTTTTTTTAATGTATTCCTGGTAATATTTTTTTTAGAAAATGTATTTCTAATAATAATGTATTGCTGATAATATTTTTTCAAAAATGTATTGATAGTATTAAAGCTTATTTTTCCACATTATTAGTGTTTTGACCCCAGTTTGGGGGTTAACTATTTACCCATAGATGGGACCACCCCGGGTAGACCTGGGGACACCAGCACTTAAGAGATTGTTCCACGCTCCTCAAAACTCGCCTCAGGAATTTTCGTCGTAGAAAACTTTGCCGTATATGCTTTTCGCCGTAAGACAAAATATCAGTAAATGTCTCTAGATTCAAATATAAACGAATTATTTTCAAAAGAAGTTAAAAAAAATTGTTTTTGACATTAATAATCAAAAGTTTGGACATATTGTAAAATCAGCCAACGAAATCCAAAAATCACGTCTTTGATCTTGTAAAAACTACAATAACCGCAGACTATGTATGCGCTTCAGTGAATAAAACATGACCTACTATGATCCGTGCCACCCCACTTAATTTACATCTTCAACGTTATTCTGCAAGAATGTGAATTAACCTGATTTGCTTTATTTTATTTCGATTCACTCTTTCCTGTTGCTGCTGATGATGATCATGATCTTGATCATAATTATGATCATGATCTTCATGATCATCATGATCATGGTGATGATTTCTGGCAGCTAACAATGTCGGTATTTTCAGCTTAGTCTCTGATCAGATTCCTTTTGTCTAATTCTATCATATATCTCTTATATATTTAATTTTTTTTTTCATGGAATTAACATCCGTAATGAAAAGAGTTCCATTACGTTTCTTTTTTTTTTCTTTCTTTCTTTCTTTTTTTTTTTTTTTTTTTGTCATCTTCGTATCATGCTGATTAGTTGATTATTTTCTATTATGCTCTCCGTAATGCATTTTAATCCGTCGACTTGCTTAATCATGATTTGCGTTTACCTTGTAAATGTATTCAAGATGATTATTTTCTTTCGTTCACTACGGTGATTAGATGAATTTTTTTAATCATAAAAGTTTTCTTTTGTCAGTCTCCCCACACACACACTCATGTTACACAACATACATAAACATCCATGTATGCGCACATATATGATAGATAGATAGATAGATAGATAGATAGATAGATAGATAGATAGATAGATAGATAGATAGATAGATTTATCGTGTATAAAAGATAGATAGATAGATAGATAGATAGATAGATAGATAGATAGATAGATAGATAGATAGATAGATTCATGGTGTATAAAATATAGATAGATAGATAGATAGATAGATAGATAGATAGATAGATAGATAGATAGATTCATGGTGTATAATAGATAGATAGATAGATAGATAGATAGATAGATAGATAGATAGATAGATAGATAGATAGATAGATAGTCGGAGAGAGAAGACTTTTATATATGTTGAGGATATTAGCCACGCATCTACGACAAACAACTTTTCAGACGTGTAAACTTTTCGGGGATATTAAAATCAACAAAGTACAAAAATTTAAATATCTGGGAAGTGTTCTAACAGAGGACGGAACGTGCGACATGAGATCCGAAGATTTATTGGGAATGGCCAAATATGCATTCCAAACGCTAAGCAGAGTATTATGAAACAGGAAAAATTCGTTGGAAACAAAGAAAAGCGTACGGAACTCTTATGTGATATCTGTCCTCCTTTATGATAGCGAATGCCGGACGATCACCTCAAAAATGAAAAAGAGACTTAAAACAACAGAAATGTGGTTCTACAGAAGGATGCTGCGGATGCCATGAACCGAACATGTGAGCAAGGATGAGGTTTTGGAGAAAATGGAAACAAAAAGGAAACTTATACTTAACATCAGGAAGAGGCAGTTGAAATTCCTACAAAGTATCAGATCGAAACCAAAATGCCGGCACCCATAATATATCACCGTTAGCATCTTTATAGTTATGTAATTCCAGTGAATGATAATTTCCTATTTTTCACAAAACGGGCCATCACGGCCAGGCAACAATGCTGTAACAATCAGTGTAAGTGTTAATTAGTATATTCAGCTTGTATTGGTTTAGCAAGATTAATCAAAGTGCACACCAAGTTACATTTTGCAGACATGGAATTTGCGATAAGAGAGACCAAGGTCGCTTACTTCAACATTCCAATGAGCCTTTACTTTCTGATCTCAGCTGGTGACTTAACGGTCGTAAAATAGAAAACGAATTGAGATAACAAAAGAGAAACAATAAGATGGTAGAAAAAACTTGTCGGGAATTTGATAATGAAGGTTATATTTGATAAAATCGGACAAGTTAAGACTCTTCCAAAATCACTTTTCTGTTTGCCTGAGTGAGTGTCCGCTCAGTAACCTAACATAAACACTAGCTAATATGAATATAATTTCATTTCTTACTGTAAAGGAATTATTTTCTCGTAGGTGTCATGTATGACAAAACCATCTTATATATTTAGATGAAAGATAACAAATACACACAGACACATGTACAGTTTTCTTGAATAATATAGACATATTGTGTCTGCATAGATTTATATTGATCTTTTCAAGATGTTTAGTTAGTTTGTTGGTAAGGTATGTAGTTTTTATTAACCCAATAATTTCAACTTTTTCTAAGAAAAATAAGAAGACACAATATGTATATATTATTCAACAAAACATGTTTAAATAGAAATAACCTTTTTATTAATGATGCTTCCATTATTTTTATCCTTTTTGTACATGTCGATGATGCTATTATATTCGTATTAGCAACGGGTATGTCACGGATAGAGTCAATGTGCTGACCGTGTTTCGAAAATAACATATTCCTATAACTTCAGATATATACATAAAACAATCCATATATATATATATATTCAGTTAAAAGTAAAATAAAATTCATCCTTGATAATGGCTAAAAGTACAACTGAAAGTGATTGGAAAACATTCGGACAATTTTGATATAATTTATGCCCCGAAAAGAAAACAACTATACGAACATATTAGAAATTATATAAAACTCAACCACAGCACCTTATCAGTCGTTTTCAACGAAATTTGCATAAAAAAGCATTGCTGCCTATATATATATATATATATAGATAGATAGATAGATAGATAGATAGATAGATAGATTCGAATTTTTTCCTCGGATGCCAATTTGTTTGAAAATTGTGTTGTCCAGGTTTTCACCCACCTAGGTTATATATATATATATATATATATATATATATATATATATATAAGCTTGGTGGGTGAAGAAACCTGACAGAAATTTTCAAACAAATTGGCATCCGAGGAAAAAATTTTGAAATGTAAAAACCAGAAACCTCCGAACAGGTTGAAAGAAATCGTCCAGTACCTTAACTTTCTGGTACAAAGAGAAAATCCAGCGAATAATAAGTTAAAAAGAAGAGTGCTCAATACGCTTAGTAGAGCAAAAGTAAAATAAATAAATCCTAATGAGACAGGTATTACCTACCTAGGTTTCACCACATCGGATCATCAGGGTGAAGTGGTTAAGGAGGAATTAACGAGGAACAAATTTATTGATAAAATTACGGCTAAAACCTAAAATTAGCATAAGCCTTAAAAGACATAGAACACGTGACAAAATAAAAAAAAAACTTTATTCTAATAACCTTTTACGCCTAGTCTCGCCTATTTTTCTCTTTTTTTCTTATTCTTTCACACTCAGTAACCCTCTTGTATCTTAGTAGATTTACTGCCTTGAATGGGGTTGAAATGATTAAAAAGAAAATTCAGCACACGGTCAAATAATGGGGGTTAGTCGAACCAATCCTCCAAATGCGTAATGCCTTGAAAATCAGGATGAGAATGACTAGTTATCAGTGTTCAGATTCCAACCTCTATCGAGAAGATATCGATTTAGATGTGATTGTTTGTGTGCGTGTGTGCGCGCGTGTGTGTGTGTCTGTGTGTGTGAAAGAGATAAAGAAAGTGATATATATATATATATATATATATATATATATATATATATGCATATAGACTTCTTTTTTTGCCGTCATACATTCATATCATTGATGATTCCTACTCCTCGGTTATTTCAAGCCGTAATCACTTCTCTTTATTCGCCTGACTGAAAACTTCCCATGTATGCGCTATTAAAATGTGCAGCCAACAATTCCGCATTAGCATTTGCATGCATAACACATTCTTGTGAAGATTTTACTTATCACAGACTCTGCATGCAAACCCCTGGTTATGTGCTCGTTTTATACCCTGGCAGCTGCCTGATACATTCTGCGACATCCACCCTCCTACCCCCACATAAACAGACTTTAGTTTAGCTGAGTTTCCTCTGCGCAAAATCTCGCCGTTGTTTTTGCTGTGCTTTTATTAAACTGGCTTACAGCGTCTGTAACATTAATAAGAATTCCTGAATAAAATTTTCGATCCCCACCACCACCCACTAAAAACAGAAAGCATTTTTTCTCAAAAAAAAAAAATAAAAATAAAAGGCAAATTTCTTTGTTTTTAGCAATTTTTGCCGCTTTTCTTCTTTATTTTGTCAGGCCTTTTCATATCAAAACATTTTTTTTTTTATTCTATTATTTTATTTTATTTTTTTATTTTTTGGCGGGATGATGGAGGTATTTTTAATTTTTTTCTGTTTTTATTTATTTTATTTTATTGTATTTTATTTTATTTATTCATTTTTTGCATCACTCCACGGATTTCCGTTTTATTTTGAAATTTTATGCAGAGTTGCGAGTTTTAACTCTTTAGGTATCTTTATGATAATTAAATATATAAACTATGGATGCGAATTTATCTGTTAGGTAGAAGACAAAGATGTAGAGAGAATGAAAGAAACTAGACCAAAGACTTGATTTTTAAACTTGTAAAATTAGAATGTTTCATTTTCAACGAGCAACAAAAACTATATTTAACGGAAGAATAAGACCTAAGAGAAAAACTTGTGATAAAAACAATCAAATAAAAAGAAGATTTTTTAAAAGAAGTAAAAAAAATAATAATAATAATAATAATAATAATAATAATAATAATAATAATAATAAACAACGCTGGCAAGACAAACCTCTGCAGGTTCAATTTCCAAACGTAACCCAATGTTGATAAAGTTAATACTCATCGATGGTTATTTCTGGATTAAAGTCTGAAACTGAAGGCTTTATTCTTGCAGTCTTTTCACTTTTTCAAAATATTACATAATAATGTAAAAATGCAGGTTCTTTACCAAGAATAGACCATCTAATAATGTTCTATATTTAGAGTGGGGCAATACTTAACTGACAATGCAAACAAAAATGTGTAAGCAAACTATGAACATAAAAAAATAGAATTCTAAGGGATTATACCATCCAACAGACAGAAAAATTGAAGCAAATTTTTAAAAAAGAAATTGCAAATAAAATCAAAATACAAAGACCTGGAAATTGAAATAGAAAAATTTGAAAACAAGAATAATAAGTGGTAATAATAATAAATTATAAAAATAACAAAACAACAATTGAAAGAATCCCTGAAACCCCAGCTAATAATTGTCTTATTAAGTACTTTTGTCTATGTATAGCAACTTCAAAATGTGGCCGTAACAACACACACGACCTGCCTTAATAACTTGGTAGGTAGTGTGTCCATAGATCGAATGATGACTAATAATAATAATAATTAAATATGCCTAGTAATAATCATCTCAATGTAAAGGGTCTTCCAATAACTTGGACCGATCTTAAACTTAATTCACATTTAATATCGGTCCAAGTTATTGGAACACTCTGTAAAAAAACAAAAAGAAAAGGTATTAAGTTTATAATAATTAATAATACAGGGTGGAATAATTAATATAAAAAAGAACGTAAATTAATATTAAGAAACAGAAAAATTCCGTGAGAATTTGTTTGTTTGTTTAATGTTTAACGACCTATCAATCTTTATGAGATCATTTAAGGTCAAACAATTGTTGTTTTTTTTTTGTTTTGTTTTTTTGGATAAAGTTGAATTGCTTTCAAAAATTTAATTTCGTGAGAAATAAAGAAAAAATACTGAACATCTATATAATATCAATCCACTGATATGGGAATGAGTACCGGACCATTTCCTGACAGAGAAGAATGCTGAGAATAACATGGACAGAGCATGCGAACCACGAAGTAGTTATAAGGAAAATTGGAACAAAAGGAACAGTTGTATTTTGAATAAAAAAAAGAAGCATTAAAAATTTCACAAAATGAGGAAATTTGGTTTGGAAATCTGATGCACACGGGAGGTACGAAAACAACCAGTTACTAATCTAACGAGATTATGTAAGTGGATGGTAAAACAGGAACTAGAAGATATAATAAGTAGACAAAACTTGTTTAAAGCTATAAAGAATATGAAGCTGTGGAGCGCCTTGATCGCCTGTTCTAAATGGACATAGTATATAAAAGAATAAATAGAAAAGAAATGATCAAATAAAAACCTGCTCTATGAGAGCTGCAGTCGAAGTACGAGAAAGTTCAAGTTTTATCAAAAATTGATTCGCTGTTTCTTGTTTAATTTAACGAGAGAAAACGTAATAAAAAATGACGAAGCAAACTACAAAAAGAAAAATGCAATCATTTGTGAAAATATTTAATATTATGATCTCAAAGAACATAAAAGTTGCCTCGATTACACTTTTATTATCGATGTCTCGGTTTCACGAATTTCCCACGACAAAGAAAAATAGATTTTATTTTTTGTTTTCTTTAAAAAGCTAATATATATATATATATATATATATATATATTATATGATGTATTACCCAAAATTTATTAAATTTTCTGTTTTTTTTGTTTGTTTGTTTTTTTAACCCCTTTCTTATATAGTCTTTACTTGGCGAATCATAAAACGTCCTTTTTATTGCTGAATAAATTGACTCCCTTCAATCGTATCCCATTCTGTATTATGCGATTGTACACTTTATTTAGTTATGCTTTCAGAGTCAGGTTTTCGTATTAGCTGCACTTGTCTCCCTTGCATCCACACCTTTCTTGTCCGTTCGTAATTATCGTGTTATTCCATATATAGAAGTCTATTTTCATACATTTATTTGGCTTCTAATTTTCCTTATCTTCCATTAAAATAGTTATCCATATTTCCAAGCATTTTTATCGTTGAAGTCCTTGTATTCGATCAGTTAATTTGATTATCTTCAATTCGTTCATTTTCAGTAGATTCGATACTTTTCAACTTCTTACAGTGCCTTTTGAAATTCTTAATAAGGGAAAAATAATAATAATAATAATAAGAAGAAGAAGAAGAAGAAGAAGAAGAAGTACTTCATTTAGCGAATATTATGAAAAAAAAACGGATGATATCCAATCTAGATTGCGACATTATAATATGTGCATGAGTATAGCCGTTTGCATTCATGCGCATGCGTATGCACATGCGCCTGTGTTCAGCCATGCACTTAAATGGGTATTCGTATCTATAAGCATGAGTTTATTCCCGTGTGTTAGAATAAATTCTTTTCACTTATTAATATTCGTTTATTTTATATATTTTCTCTCATTTGTTCCGCTATTAAGTATCTGGCATGTTAAATCCTCCAGAAAATATGTAAATCGGTGCAAACGTAAAATGAATGAAAAAAAAGGTGACAGTGACAACAAATGACACATTTTTTTTTTCAAAATGGACGCTATAAAAACCTAACCGTTGAATGAATACAGATAAAAAATACGTTTATTATTTATTTAAATCTGACTTAGAATCGGCGAATAATCAAACAAGATTTATGTGCAATATTTTTCAGTTAAATATCGTTTTACTGAATGAAATTTAAATCTGTCTATGAATTTCTGATAAATAGGCTTTTTTTCTATTCCTATCATTCACATACATATTTACATAAATGCAAATGTTTGGGCACATATACATGTAGATAAAGAGTCATTTAAACCTATCAATCATATATATGTATGTGCATATATATATATATATATATATATATATATATATATATATATATATATATATGCTCAAAAATATTTAAATATTCAATAAATCAATATAAGTTTAATGGACTTATCTCACTGACCGACTCTAAAGTTTCGCGTAACACCACTCATCAGGTTCAGATGGCCCAATAAATCGATAGTATTAGATAGTAGTATTATTTAGAACTATTAATTATTATAAATATTATTTTTAAGGAATTAATAGATGTATTTTGATTCGACATTCTTATTACTTCAAACGTTATTATAGTGGGTACTTCGTATTAGAAATATACACCATATCTTTATTTATTAAACAGTGTGTATTACGGCCTGCGCACTGGAGTAATCTTAATAAAGAAAATGCGTTGCCCTTATTTCTGATTTAAAAAAGTATCCATTATAACAACGTTTCAAGATAGATAGATAGATAGATAGATGATCGAAATTGAGAGAGAGGGAAACAGAGTTTGATACAGAAAATAGATATGAACTTTTATTAATAGAGAGAGGAAGAGACGTTAATAAACGGTCACGGACATTGATTTCAAATAGAGAGAGAGAAACAGATTTTGAGAAATTGACTGATACAAACAGCTTAAGATAGATAGATAGATAGATAGATAGATAGATAGATAGATAGATATCCGTGTATTCTACTTATAGTGATTAAAAAATGACAACCAAGATATTCTTTGCATATTTTTTTTTATTTAGTGGACGTGTAAAGTTTTTGGAAATTACAAAATTTTCGGTTACTCCTGTAGACTTCTTCAGCGTTTTGCTATTGAATAGTATTTTTTATTATAGTAAAAACAAAAAAAAAATCACAAGAACAAGACTAGAGAAGTCAAAAAATTCCAACAAACTTTATTCTGTCCCACATGTCCACTAAATGAAAAAAAAATCATACATGCAAAGAATATATATTTGTTATCACATTAAACATACGTATACACACTAATATACATTATCACCCGAATCCCACATAGCCAAACTAGAATTATGATACACTTACATACATAAAGCAATATTTACTTTTTTCAGTTAGGCCTGGAATCCGTTCATTTTTTTAAACTTTGAAAGGACGGTTAATCTCTCTTTGAATTCAGAACGTCATAAATAAGACGCTGCTTAACAACTCAAATGCACTTCAAGCCTGCTTAACCAATGCGAATCAAAGAATACCAAAATAAAATAAAACAGAATTTTGTTTTGTTTTTCTCCATATTCCATTCTCTGATGAAACTTTAGTAAAAAAAAAAATGAAAACATTATAGATTGATATACGTTTTCTATTTGTTTTTTATCCTATCATTCTGTCGTATTCCGATCCATATTTGATCTGTATTTCATCCCAATTCATATATAGACGATTGCGTATAGCATGAAACAGCCTGTCGCCCTGAGTGTTGACTTCAATGTTCACTTTTATACATATATATATATATATATATATATATATATATATATATATATAAAGTTGTAATTTTTTTATGTTTCGCCGATTAACCGGTGTCATCAGAATAAAAATCTATTTCAAGAAAATTCACATTGAAGAGACAAGATTTGATGCCCATGTGTGAAGAATCTGGCATTCACAGAACATATTGAAGGCAAGAGAGACCAAGGAAAGCAGCAAATAAACATACCTAACCAGTCTGTAAGTTGGGAGAATAGCGATTAGGAGGAAAAAACAAACCTTGCTAAAAGCTAGGAAATCGTGGAGAGCCATCATCGTCCACGTCCTGAAGGTACACCGTACTTAAAAGAAGAAGAAGAAGAGTTTGTGATAAATGTAGAGATTATAAGAATACTGTTGGTTAAAAACGACAATTCTTCGTAAATATGCGACGATCGAAAGCAAACAATGAAATATGATTGAAAATATTCTCTTTGTTTTATTCATCTGTTATATTTAAACTATTGATAAGTGGAACGACGCCATATATTTCTTTGTCATATCAATCCCATTATTTTAAATATTTCTATGCAGAGATCAAATTTACAAAAGAATGTTCGCATCGTTCGGGAACAACGAACTATTGGCTTTCATTTGAATCTTTGATCCCCGTCTTTTATCTTCTCCGACCCAATCCTATGATTCCTGCCCAATAGATTGCATTTATTTATTTGTTTTGATAAGTGGGTGCCAGAATACATTGCTATTGGAACGAAATTTAATGCTCAATATTTGTCCATTATTATTACAATTGAAATTAGAAATGCATTTCATCTGAAATGCTTAGTCATAGACGGGGACAAAATTCAACATGGCAGCATTTTATTTAAGAATGATTTTTAATCTTCAAATAAACTTGTATTTTATGTGCGTGTGGTAATATCCCATTAAAAAATATTTGATTTTCGGTTGATTTCGTCTCTAAAATATTATATCATGACAGTCTCTGCCCTAAACGATATTAATAAAAAATATCACGCAAATATTACAATTTATCACTGAAAAAATATCAAGATATCTGTATTTCCTATTATCATTATTTTTTTATTTTTTTTTATTTTTTATTTCTGTTGTATACATATTTCCTTCCGGCTCCCAACTAGAGACCTAAGTTCAGAAATGGCTTCATGACATTTTTTACTTATCATTTTTGTAAAAGAAAAAGAAAATCGCATACATTCTGCATAGATAAAGCTCTCCATAATGTGTGTACTGGACTGGTGAGCACAATTTTTTGTATTTCTTTAAGTTATAGGTTACCAGGAATCCCTTCAATGTGTCTATCAGAACTTTTTTCCAATTAAACAGCAGGCTCCAACTACAACTGGAATGATTTGTGTCTTCATGTGCCACATTTTTAAGATTTCCGCTTCTAGATCCTTGTATTTTGTAATGTATATTTGAAGATCTTCAAAAACTGTTTTTGTGGTCTTTAATTACGATGCCTGGGCGATTAACTTCGATTGTTCTGTCTGTATGTATTGTAAAGTCCCATAAAATTGTTACAGGTCCGATTTCTGTAATCGGGTCTGGGTGATATCATATCAGTTTCCTACGGTTTCCTTACCGTAAAAGTTGCATATTTTCCAGTGCAGATATTGACCCACTCTCTCATACCGAGTTTTATATTCAGTGTGTACTAACACTGCCCAACCTGATACAAGATGGTCAATTGTTTGTGGATATTTATCACAGAATCTGTATTTCGGGTTAACACAATTATTTCATTATGCGTGCATCGTTAGCAAGAATTGTTCCTGCGCAGCAAAAAAAAATCTTAGGTTTCAGCTTAATTACTGATGGGTACGAGGTTTGTGTACATCAGCTTTTTTGATACTGGCAGAGTACTGCCCATGAAGACGCTTATCATGCCATTATTTCTACATTTGGTACATTGCATTTGCTTTTACTTTCTTTTTTAGGTTATATTCCAATACAGACGGTGTATTATGGTTTATTTGTACTTCTTCACTCACTTGCAATTCCCTTTTGAATGTGCTGGATTTCTGCTGGATTACTTTATTACTGAATAAAGCTTTCTTATTTCTTTTATGTTCTTTGATCCAGGATGAATACCGATTTTTGTGGTTTTGTAAGATAGTTCTAGTTGAACTAATCCTCTGCCTAGTTCGGACCTGGACACATACAGACTTAGGATGATGCATGCGTTGGTAAGTGAGAAGCTTTCTCGTTTTGACATCGATTAACTTATGTCAGCTATGGTCCAATTAAGGATGTTACAATTCCATTACACCACAGGGAATTATTATTATTATTATTATTATTATTATTTGCCTTTGCATTGTTTTGTACGAGCTTCACCTAAGTCTCAACCAGAGACGTCAAAAGAGAGCCTAAAGTGCTAACAGGTGAGTTTCTATATACAGGGTGCAATGTGTAAATTGTCGCCGTTTTATATTTTGAATTATGAATTTCGCGCATGCGCGTTGTTGTTTTTTATTTTGTCGACTACACAGTATATTAGTGTCAGTTGGGCACCGTTTGTGAGAAAAAGTGTACAATGACGCAATTCACCCCGCCCAAAATTTGGAGACAGCATCCTGTACTGATTGGCATTTGCGTCGGAAGCTCCAATACGAATATTTCAGAATGATTGAGTGTCAGTCTGAGGACAGTTCAGAGAATTCGGAAAGAGTTGGATGAGTCTAATGATGTTTACGAAGGTGTTTGGAGTGATTACTAGGTCAAGAGGGTGGCTGCTGGAAGACCCTGTGTCTGACAACAGGACTGCTGGAAGACCCTGTGTCTGACCACAGGACTCTGCGCCATGTCAAACAAGCATGAGAACACAGTCATGGCTATCAGTCAATTTCTGCGAGCACAACACTCCTTACATCTGGCAACCTAACTCCCTGACTACGACGCACTTGATTATTGTGTGCGTGGAGCAGTTGAGCGAAATACCAACAAAACTCCTTGTAACACCAAAGATGAATTGAAGGCAAGGATTATGTCAGCATTCAGCAACTTAAACAAGGAGACTGTCCAGAAGAGTTGCTGGAGATTCCGAAGTCGTCTGGAGGCCATGATTGAAGCCAATAGCGATTTTATTGGATAAATGGGTGATATCATCTTGCCAGAGAGTAATTTTAAGTACCTAATTACCAAGTCCTCTCCGAGTTCTAGAAGCAAAAAGGAGAATTATCTATGCACATTTCGGACGTTTCGTTTAGATGGAAAAGGTTTTGCGGATGATATGTGCATTTCGGCGTAAAGTAATCTTTTGTAACTCTGAGATACTGATGTGTCCAGGATTTTACTCGTATGATTTTCGGTACCCTTCTTTATCATACCCAATGCACTTATCACAACTGGATTATTTGTAGTCTTAAATTTCTACATTTTTTTACTTCGATTTACAGGTCCTTATACAGTTTTTTAAATACTTTTTAGAAACATTGTAATCCTGTCGTAAAATCATTTCAATTAGTAGGCAGGTTCCTTTTTAGAAATCTTTTATGACAATTATTATTATTATTATTATTATTTTCTTTGATTTCTGGCGTTTACACATTTCTTTCCTGGTCCCACCCAGGGACCTAAGGTTAGAAATGGCATCATGACACTTTCCACTGACAAAAAAAAAAAAAATATTACATAGATAAAGCCCTTCGTAAAGTGTGGGCTGTATTTGTCAGAACAATTTTTTGTATCTTCTTGAGGCATGGACTTCCAGGAATCTCTTCAATTAGTCTACCGCAAACTTTTCCAACCAGTCCTAGGGCTCCAACTACAACAGGGATTGTTGATGTTCCCATATGCCACATTTTCGAGATTTCTATTTCAAGGTCCTTGTATTTTGACAGTTTTTTGAATATCTTCAAAGATACATTGCAGTCAGACGGGACTGCCATGTCAATAATTATTATTATTATTATTATTGTTGTTGTTGTTGCTCTTGTTGTTGCTGTTGTATTTTCCGGATTTCCCGATTCACTATTTGCTACAATCCTGTGCTAAATCTTTTGAAATGAGTTAAAGAGAGTTTTTTTCTTAGTTATTGAGCTTAATACATTGAGTATTTTTTTTCTAAATATGTGAGTTTTTGTTCATTTTTTCTCTGTATCTCAAACAGTGAATGTTTCGTAAGATTTTCGAAATGTGTGTATCGGTATTCTTTTTAACCACTCCTAGTGCTCGTATTATTATTGGAATTATGGTTGTGTTTAAATGCTACAATCTTCCAATATCTAATAATAATAATAATAATAATAATAGTAATAGTATTTTCTTTTGCTTTCTGTTCAGTTCAATCCCTTGCCGGTTCATTATCCAAGACCTGAGGTAAGGCAAGGTTGTAAATATATACATTTTGTTTGCACAAATTCAGATGCTAAATTAGACTTAAAATGTTCAGTGTCTATATTTTCTTTACATTCATAATACACTCGTGAGTAGAGGAGCAGTTCTACTGTGTGCAATTATTGGAATTTCTTGTAAACGGGCTACCAGAGATCTTGTTAATGTTCTTGTTTGCATCATTTTTGGTCGTACCCACGGCCCCAAT